CACCGCATCGCTGAGGAGGCGTTCAGGAAAGAGGCAGTCCCCGAGACGGTCATCATGACGTGCCGGCTGGCTTGGGCTGGCCTTCGCGTCTGCTGCGTCTCCGGCGAGCTCGCAGAGGCCAGCCCACCAAGGCCCTGCCGCAGGGCGACAGTTGCGCCTCGGGGGCCATGACAGCGGCCCTCGTGCCGTGGCATCCCGAGCCCGCTTTGGGCTGGGCGTTCATGGACGACAGAAGCTTGGGCGCCAAGGGCGAGCGCGCCGCCGAAGACCTGCAGGCTAGCCCCGCAGCCACGCAGACCTTCGACAACGACATCGGCTTCGTGGAGAACGCCGCCAAACGCCAGGAGTGGGGCGCTCAGGGCAAGCAGCGGGTGAAGCACCTAATTAGGTCTCACGGTGGTGCCGGCAGACCTGTCCCAGCCCATCCTTCCCAGGGGAGCGTGGGACAAATTGCTCGCTGCCCTCGCGGTTCTCGCCTCGCTCCCAATGGGCCATGGACGTGCGCGAGCGGCTCAGCTTGGCGTACATTCGTCCACTGTGGAGTTGGGCAGCCCCGCTGGTGGCACCTTTCCCCGCATGGTGCCAGGTCAGCTGTTCGGCGCAATCTTACGCTCGAAGTGCACATGGTGGCCCCATGGACGATGGTGGGCTCAGCGCATCGTGCTGCACCCGCTGCTCTCGCCAGCCATTCTTGCGGTCAAAGCTCTGGCAAGTCCGTCCTTGGTCTGGAGCCCTTTTGTACAACGAGCAGCCGCCGAACATTTCAAGCTTCTGGGGTTGACCACTCGCCGGTTCGAGCCCGAGTGGGGCCTTCAGGCGTTCGTGGACCGCAACGATTCTTGTCAGATTGTCCAAGCCACTCGCGGCGTTCGCCGTCACGACTGGTGTTTTATTTTTGGACATCGTCACCTTCGACAGCACGCGTCTTGCGCGCAGTGGCACGGCCACGTTGTTTTGAAAGCGTACACAGTACGAGGCTTGACGCCGCTGGACAGGCCCGCGTCGACGTGCACGCCGCCAGCACTGCAGTCTGGGCCAAGTGGCACAGACCGTTGTCGTGCCGCGACAAGAAGTACCTTGACATCTTTCGGTCCAGGGCCACCAAGACGCCGACGCGGGGGGGCGAGGCAGCTCCGTGCCCTTGGTCCAGCCGCTAGCCAGCACCCGCCACATGTTCCAGGACTGCCCGCGCCTCGGCACGGAACGAGCAGCGATCGCCAGAGATCTACACCTTCTGTCCTCTGTCTGGCGCACCCAGCCCCGGGCGACGTGCAAATCAAGATGGGTCACATATGACGCGGGGAGGACCGCGGAGCGACGCGGAACCATGCAGGTGGCAGCGTGCCGGCTTGGTCAGGCAATCGTTTCTGCTACGTTCGATCTCAACGGCTGCTCCACGTTCGACTAGGAGTTCGCCTCCCGGTAGCACCACTCCAGAGTTGGGGGGGCCTGCTCGCATTCGATGCGTTGAAGGGCTCTACGATTTCGTTTACATTCCCATCGATTTCAAAAATCAAAACATGTGCAAGTGCAGCTCCATGGCTTTGGAGCTGGCAGCGCTGCTGGTTCAGAGGTCTCGGGTCATACTCTCGGCCCTGGTGATCTGGCCTCTGAGATCTCTGGCGATCTCCGTGCGGCCTCGCGGACGACATCGGCAGGGATGGCACGTCACGAGCCGTATCCCAACACAGCCGTTGGCAGGGGTGGGAAGTCTGGCGGAAAAAGGGAAGTTTCAGCTCGCCGCTTTCGCACTACAACGCATGAGTCTCTGCATCTTGGCTTGGTGGAGCTGTTGCCGACGACATGTTGTTCTTCTGTGTTTAAGCAGCATAAGCGCCGCGGGGATCTTCGCGACACCTCTTGCGAGTTCTTGGCCAACTTCTGGTATCGTACTTTCATGCACCCCAGGTGTTTGCAGTCTCGGACTCCGACGTGCATCTTTACCGTGGCAAGCTCGTCCAGCGCTTCCGGCATCGACCTGGCGCTACCCCTTTCTGAGCTCCATGTAGCCGTGAGGCAGGCTTAGCCAACCTCTCTTTCTTTTCAGTGGCTGGGCACCCCCCAGTCTTTCTCAGTACACGCCTTCGTGAATCTGATTTCTGACGAGCACGCGCAGCGTTTTATCAAGCATTCCAGCGGCGTCACCCAATGGACTCGCGTGTCGTCCTCGTCTTCGAAGGTCTGCAACGCGATCTAGTCCCACACGCAGGGCCTGGCGGCGACTCTCGCCCGTTACCGGAACAGTCCTGTGATGCGCGACGACGTCCCCGACGTCTGCAAACCCGTGCTCCTCATGGACAGGAGGAAGGTCCCTTTCCCTGCCCCCACCAAGCAGCTGCCCGAGATTCATCTCAAGACGAAACTCCAGTAGATGAGGCAAGATGATGGTTAAGACGATCCCGCGGGGGGGGCAGTGCTTACGCAGCACCGCGCGGTTAGGCTATCCATAGGTTCCAAATCCGACGTACGAAGCTAATGTTCAAGGGTTTGCCGTGAGCGCCTCCATGGTCCGACAAGGCAGGCGCAGCCGAAGCAGGATATTTTGCGTACTTCTCTCTTGCCGTTGCATACGCTTTGGCCCGCCTGGGTAACCGACATGCGTGTTGCCCAGTTACAGTCACATGAACGCGTTGAAGAATCCCCCAATAGGGTCTTGAGGGGGCCCACATGGGGCCCCACGATGGCCCCAAGATGCCTCCGCGAGGCTCCTGGAGCGTGATTGCATGCTGCTAGGCATCTCTGATCAGGACAACTCGCCTGGTGATTGGTTCAAGAAACTTACGCCGTTCCGCCGACCCCCAGAAGAGTCAGAGAGTTCCGTATGGGCGCGGAAGTAGTTGAGACCATTGGGGCTCGAATGCGTTCGTTCGTCTCTCAGTTCTCTTGGGGCTCTGTAGGCTCTCGTGGGTTTTCGGACCCGTGCGGCCTATGTTGGACAGCTTTGCTGGCTGGGAAGGCGCGGTGGCAAGCTCTTGCCCCCTTTCTCTCGAACAGGATTCGGGGCTCTGGCGGAGAAGGAATCGATGGGGAAGGCTGAGGTCGAGCATGTTGCGTGCTGTCTTGCCCTTGCAAGCGCGGGCGGGCGGGCTCCGCGTCTACTGGTCTCTTGCCTTAGCCCTCCCTCTCCTCACAAGACAGGAGGGGGGTGAGGGAGGACGCAGAAGGCACAGAGGAAGTAGGAATAAACAGAAAGCGGAAGAGAAGGAGGAGGAGGAGGAGGCGTACGAATGGCCAGGAGGGGGGATGTCGAGATGTTGGATGTGGTGCGAGACGGGATGCAAGAGCAAAAAGGGAAGGATAATGAGGAGGAGGCGGAGGAGGGGGAGGGGGAGGAAGGAGGGAGGTATGGGGGGGAAGGAGGAAGGAGGAAGGATGACAAGGACGATGAGGATAAGGTAAAGACGAGGGGGAGGGGAGCCTCTTGGATGCATGTGGGGGGGCTGTTGTAGGGCTCTCGAGAACAGCTGGTTGGCTTTTTGGAACCTCTTGGGCGACTCTCGAGGGCGCCTCTTGAGGGCGCTTCGGGGTTCATTGGTGGGCTCTTGGAGCCATCACGGCGGGAACGACTCGAGATGTCAGTTCGTATTGCCACTCTAGGGCCCCTCTTGGGGCGCTCTAAGGGCGCCTTAGGGGCCACTGGGGCGATCGTGGGGCTCTCTTGGGCCCTATTGGGCCGACTTGGGGCCCCCTTCAGACAGGGGAAGGATCACGCTTTTGATTTGTTTTCCCTCCGCGCTGAGTCACTCCGACTCCCTCCCGGGTGGGAACCGCCGTGGGCGCGCACCGCTGCCAAGAGACCAGAGCCCGACCTGACAACTTTCAGGTCGACCTGAAAACGCCCATGTGCCCCGCGTGTATGAAATAATACACTCTGGTGGCGTTTCCAGGTTTCTACACCGCGAGGATGAAAATTGTCAGGTCGACCTGAACGTACCATCCGTGTGAAAGAACCATGGATGAAGCGTCCCCGGAGGAAATTTTCAGCTCCAACCTGAAAATGTTCAGGTCGACCTGAAAATGTCGAGGTGCTCCAAACTCCAAATGTATCAAATAATACACCCCGGTGGCATTTTCAGGTTCCTACGCCGTTTGGCGATTATGATAAGATAAGGGACCTGAGGGAACCTGAAAATTTGCCCCCCCGGTGGTTCCGCCGAACCCCCCTATGGCTCCGCCCAACTACATTACTGGCGTGTGCAATGACATTGTACGGGGCCCGGTGCGCCTAACGGGGATACGTCAATCTGCCATGGCCCACTCACTCTCGACGCGAATGCTCATGCTTGCTTTTTTTGCGAATTTTTTGTAAACTGTCAGTATCTCAAACAAAATGCACCGAACAAATCGAAAGCGTAACTTTCCCCTGTCTGTTGGGGGCCTGATAGGCAGTCTGGGGACACTCTTGGAGCCCCTTGGGCCGCAATGACCGCTGTCAAGACGAAAAAGGCAACCATCTGGAAAATGAATGGTTTCTTCCCGGACTGAAGCGATGCTTGCCTCTTGTGGCCCTCTCGGCGTTCCTCTGGAAGCACTCTCGGGCCGTCTTGGAGGCCCCGTGGGCAGTCTCGACACTCTTCTGGACTGCCTCGGCGCTCTGTTCTGGCCCTTTTCGGTCGTCTTGGGGCTCTTCTGGAGTCCCCAGAGAAACCCTCGGGGGTGCGTTGACGAGCCCGTGACTCCCCCCCCCCCGAACAGGGTTTTGGACCGAGGAGGGAGGACGAGGAGGAGGAGGAGGAGGAGGAGGAGGAGGAGGACAGCCAAATGTCTCACACGCCTTTTCGGGGGTCGGCGGGTTTCGGATAGGCTGGTGGGGACGCGCGAAGCGTCAAGAAGCTAGATATCGTGTTTCGGATGGCTTCGGCCCCGCTCTCGATCTCCAGCGCACCCCCGCGACCAGAGATCACCGGGAGCCCACGTGTTATGTGTCATTCGTATTCGAGGCTCGAGGGCTCAAGCCAGACCTTCGTCCACCAGTCTCAGCGCACCTTTCAGTCCTCGCAATGGTGCTGGAGGCTCAGCTGCAGCAGGCTGTGCTGCTGAAGAAGGTGGTGGACGCCATGAAGGACCTCTGCAAGGACGTTAACTTCGACTGCTCGGAGAAGGGGCTTCAAGTGCAGTCCATGGATAGCTCGCATGTGGCCCTAGTCTCACTGCTGCTGCGGGAGTCTGCGTTCGCAGAGTTCAAGTGCGACAGGCCGACCTCGTTGGGCATGAACGTGGACTCGTTGGGCAAGATCCTGAAGATGTGCGGACAGAACGACTCGCTGAAGCTGCGCGCGCAGAATGACGCAGACGTCGTGAGTTTCCAGTGCGAGAGCGGGGAGGACGACCGCATCGCCGACTTCGACTTGAAGTTGATGCAGATCGAGAGCGAGCACATGGAGATCCCCAGGTTCACGCCACACCGCCGACCCATCGGTATCTTGCTTCTGAGGTGCACCATCGCATGATAGTCGCAACTTTGCGTGACCGCTTTGGAAGCCCAAAATCGCCAAAGATGCCTTTTTGGGCTTTCTCGTGAGCCTTTTTGGGGGGCATCTTGGGGGGCATCTCGGAGGCGTCTTGGGCTCTCTTGGGCCCTCTTGCTGGGTTAGGGGTTTTTGGTGGGGCTCTCTTGGGCCATCCTGGGGCCGTGCTTGGCTGTTTAGGGGGCTTTCTTTAGCAGGCTTGGGCACCCCTGGACGCTGCTGCATGTAGTGTTGGACCATCGGTTGGGGCGCCTCTGTCTGTGGGCCTTGTGGCCCCGTCTTGGAGCGTTCTTGGGTAGTCTTGGGGCCCGACGTCGCGCTCCCGAAACCATCCTATGCAGAACGGCGCTGGAAGACAAGCATTGGAGAACGCATTTAGGTCGTCTTGACGGCTTGAATTACACATCGGTCGTTGAAAGTAGGTTTTTTGGGTAGTTCTGGGTAGTCTTGGGGCCCGACGTCGCGCTCCCGAGACCATCCTATGCAGAACGGCCTTGGAAGACGAGCGTTGAAAAACGTGTTTAGGTCGTGTTGACGGTTTGAATTAAACCGGGGCGTTCTCTCCAGACGTGATCGTGTCGCGAAAAAAATCAGGACGGGAGGTTGTTCGCCAGTGTCCGGTCTCGGGGGGGCCTCGCCGGGCCTCGGGGCTGCCAAGAAACAACTCAGGGCGACGAACCGTTCCCGGGGAAAGGGTCGGGATTTCCAGGGCCCCGTATTGATCGGGGGCGGCAAAGAGGGGGGTGATGACTAGGGGGGGATATCATGGCGGGGGCCATGATATTTCCCCAGATTTCATGGCGCCTCTTCTTATTTCATCACGTCCCTGGCCCCCCCGCTGGGCCGCGCACATGCCGCCGGTCATGATTTGCACCCCCCCTCTTGGACACCCCCCTCTTGGCCGCTCCCGAATTGAAAAAAACAGGACGTCGCATGTCTGGGTCATAAGGTGCTTTGGCCACTCGTAGCCGTCTTGAAACCGTCTTGGGTCGCATGCTGGATGTTATTTTGTATTAGGCTCAGACCGTCCTGCAAGACATGGGAGGCCTCTAACAATGACCGAGAGAGACTGTTGACATCTAGTTGAGATTCGGACGGTGTGATGGCATTGCCCTGCCGGTACCCCCCAAACTGGCCAGGCTGGGTTCCCGGGGGAGGTGTTTGGGGCGGGGCAGTGGCCGCACATGCCAAGTGACCCCAAGGGGTCGGCGACTCCCTGAGCAGCACTACAAGGTCGTGGCCAAGCTGCCGTCAGCGGAGTTTCAGAAGATCTGCCGTGACCTCAAGGAGTTTGGGGAGACGATGCAGGTGAAGGCCACCAAGGAGGGCATCACATTCACAGTCCAGGGCGACATGGGTGCTGGCAATGTCATGCTGAAGCCGCGCGCGGCGGAGAAGCCCGAGGACGCGGTGAGCCTCACCGTGCACGAGCCAGTCTCCGCCACCTTCGCGCTGCGCTACCTGGTGAACTTCGCCAAGGCCGCGCCGCTGTGCGGCACTGTGGAGCTCGGGCTCGGCCCGGACGCGCCTCTGCTTGTGAGGTACAACCTCGAGAACGCGGACAATGGCCACTTGCAGTTCTACTTGGCACCGAAGATTGACGAGTGAGATTGCCAGGCTTGCTGGGGTGAGGGCGAAGCTGTTTTGCACTAGCAGCGTGTAAGGGTCTGCGCAGTGCCATCTTCTGTGTACGCACTCGGTGGCATCTGTGTCCACAGAGCCTCCCACGTTTCCGATAGCTGTCCTTAGTGGGTGCGCAGGGTGGGGCCTGCCTTCGCATCAATGGCTTGATTCATTGTGGTTCAGTGCGGACAAACCGTGTGCATTCGTATTCTCTCGGCGCAGGGATAGGACAGTGTGAGCCTAAGCCTCGCTACCTAAAGCGAGCGTTGTGGCTTAGATAGAGCCTCGGGGTGGCTCAGCTCTGCTCCTAATGTCCAGCGCACCCCCACGACCAATGATCACAGGGGTCCACTTCGCATGTGTGCGTGCATATCGCGAAGGCCTTACGGCTGGTGCCGCCGATTCTGAAGGGGGGACGACAACGACGACAGCCATGACGAAAACGTTCAAAACTTCAGGAACATCGTGCAGCTTACCCTCTTGGGGTTGTCTTCAGGGTGCTCTTTGGGGCTCTCTGGGACCTCTCGGGGGCCTCTTGGGAGCTTCCTGGGAGCCTCTTGAGGCCTCGTGGCTGCCTCGTGGGGCGGGAGGATCAACATCTCGGTGGATGTTCCCCCCCTCGGGAGCCTCTCGGGCTGGGGTCGTTTTGAACTGTTTTCGGGCGCTTGCGGCAGCCTTTGGGACCGTCCTGGGGCGATTTTGGCATTTTCGTTGCCCGTCTTGGAGCGTCGGAAGCCCGAACAGGCAGGACTCGATCCCAAACCGCATACTAGCGATGTGGTGCAAGCTAGGTTGTGCAAGATATGCGGTGCATGCTATGTGGTGCAAAGTATGTGGTGTGAGATGTGTTGTGCAAGGTGTGTGTGATGCAATCTGTGTGGTAGGAACTAACGTTATCATGTAAGTGGTATGAGCTATGCGGTGTCGACTATGTGGTGCGAGCTCTGGGCTGTCAGCTATGTAGTGCATCTATGTGGTGTGAGCTGCGTGGTGTAGGCTAGGTGGTGCAATCTAAGTGGTGCAGTCGATGCAATCGAATGCGGTGCGAGCTATAGTGGTGCAGCCTATGCTGTGCAGCCTATGCAGTGCAATATACGTGGTGCAATATATGTGGGGTAACTCTTTATGTGTTAATTAGTCTTCTGGCTCAAGGGCTCACGCGTGATCTTCCTGCCACCAGTCTCGACGCACCGTTCAGTCATCGCAATGGTGCTGGAGGCTCAGCTGCAGCAGGCTATGCTGCTTAAGAAGGTGGTGGACGCCATGAAGGACCTCTGCAAGGACGTTAACTTCGACTGCTCGGAGAAGGGGCTTCAAGTGCAGTCCATGGATAGCTCGCATGTGGCCCTAGTCTCGCTGCTGCTGCGGGAGTCTGCGTTCGCAGAGTTCAAGTGCGACAGGCCGACCTCGTTGGGCATGAACGTGGACTCGTTGGGCAAGATCCTGAAGATGTGCGGACAGAACGACTCGCTGAAGCTGCGCGCGCAGAATGACGCAGACGTCGTGAGTTTCCAGTGCGAGAGCGGGGAGGACGACCGCATCGCCGACTTCGACTTGAAGTTGATGCAGATCGAGAGCGAGCACATGGAGATCCCCAGGTTCACGCCACACCGCCAACCCATCGGTATCTTGCTTCTGAGGTGCGCTATCGCATGATAGTCGCAACTTTGCGTGACCGCTTTGGAAGCCCAAAATCGCCAAAGATGCCTTGTTGGGCTTTCTCGTGAGCCTCTTGGGGGGGGCATCTTGGGGGGCACCTCGGAGGCTTTTTGGGCTCTCTTGGGCCCTCTTGCTGGGGCTTGGGATCTTGGTGGGGAACTCTTGGGCCATCCTGGGGCCGTGCTTGGCTGTTTAGGGGGCTTTCTTTAGCAGGCTTGGGCACCCCTGGACGCTGCTACATGTAGTATTGGACCATCATTGGGGCTTCTGTCTGGACCTTGTTGGCCCGTCTTGGGGCGTTCTTGGGTAGTCTTGGTGCCCGACGTTGCGCTCCCGAAGCCATACTATGCAGAACGGTGCTGGAAGACAAGCATTGGAAAACGCATTTAGGTTGTCTTGACGGCTTGAATTACACATCGGTCGTTGAAAGTAGGTATTTTTGGTTTCCCCGATTCCAGTTTATTGTAAGCGCCTTCCTACTTCAATGATCGAGTGGCTTCACCTTGTCCGTCCTCATTAGGGGGCGGACGGAACCCGATCTATTTTCAACGCCTTCTACTTCATGTTTATACATACTTCTTCCGACCGATGGGTAATCTGGGGCATTCTCATCAGGTGCCTGGCCACTCGTAGCCGTCTTGAAACAGTCTTGTCGTAGGTCCCATGCTGGATGCTATCCTGCACCAAGCTCAGACCGTCCTGCAAGACATGGGAGGTCTATAACAATGACCGAGCGAGACTGTTGACATCTAGTTGAGATTCGGACGGCGTGATGACATTGCCCTGCCGGTACCCCTCAAATTGGCCGGGCTGGGTTTCCCGGGGAGGTGTTTGGGGCGGGGCAGTGGCCGCACATGCCAAGTGACCCAAAGGGGTCGGTGACTCCCTGAGCAGCACTACAAGGTCGTGGCCAAGCTGCCGTCAGCGGAGTTTCAGAAGATCTGCCGTGACCTCAAGGAGTTTGGGGAGACGATGCAGGTGAAGGCCACCAAGGAGGGCATCACATTCACAGTCCAGGGCGACATGGGTGCTGGCAATGTCATGCTGAAGCCGCGCGCGGCGGAGAAGCCCGAGGACGCGGTGAGCCTCACCGTGCACGAGCCAGTCTCCGCCACCTTCGCGCTGCGCTACCTGGTGAACTTCGCCAAGGCCGCGCCGCTGTGCGGCACTGTGGAGCTCGGGCTCGGCCCGGACGCGCCTCTGCTTGTGAGGTACAACCTCGAGAACGCGGACAATGGCCACTTGCAGTTCTACTTGGCACCGAAGATTGACGAGTGAGATTGCCAGGCTTGCTGGGGTGAGGGCGAAGCTGTTTTGCACTAGCAGCGTGTAAGGGTCTGCGCAGTGCCATCTTCTGTGTACGCACTCGGTGGCATCTGTGTCCACAGAGCCTCCCACGTTTCCGATAGCTGTCCTTAGTGGGTGCGCAGGGTGGGGCCTGCCTTCGCATCAATGGCTTGATTCATTGTGGTTCAGTGCGGACAAACCGTGTGCATTCGTATTCTCTCGGCGCAGGGATAGGACAGTGTGAGCCTAAGCCTCGCTACCTAAAGCGAGCGTTGTGGCTTAGACAGAGCCTCGGGGTGGCTCAGCTCTGCTCCTAATGTCCAGCGCACCCCCACGACCAATGATCACAGGGGTCCACTTCGCATGTGTGCGTGCATATTGCGAAGGCCTTACGGCTGGTGCCGCCGATTCCGAAGGGGGACGACAACGACGACAGCCATGACGAAAACCTTCAAAACTTCAGGAACATCGTGCAGCTTACCCTCTTGGGGTTGTCTTCAGAGTGCTCTTTGGGGCTCTCCGGGACCTCTCGGGGGCCTCTCGGGAGCTTCCTGGGAGCCTCTCGGGGCCTCGTGGCTGCCTCGTGGGGCGGAAGGATCAACATCTCGGTTGATGTTTCCCCCCCCCTCGGGAGCCTCTTGGGCTGGGGTCGTTTTGAACTGTTTTCGGGCGCCTGCGGCAGCCTTTTGGACCGTCCTGGGGCGATTTTGGCATGTTCGTTGCCCGTCTTGGAGCGCCGGAAGCCCGGTCAGGCAGGACGCGATCCCAAACCGCATATTGGGGATGTGGTGCAAGCTAGGTTGTGCAAGATATGCGGTGCATGCTATGTGGTGCAAAGTATATGTGGTGTGAGATGTGTTGTGCAAGGTGTGTGTGTGATGCAATCTGTGTGGTAGGAGCTAACGTTATCATGTAAGTGGTATGAGCTATGCGGTGTCGACTATGTGGTGCGAACTCTGGGCTGTCAGCTATGTAGTGCATCTATGTGGTGTGAGCTGCGTGGTGTAGGCTAGGTGGTGCAATCTAAGTGGTGCAGTCAATCACTTGCTCAACTTGAAGCTGTCCTCTCCACTGCTCGCGCAAACATCCCACCCTCCCACCCGCAACTTGGTTTGCAAAACCTCTTAAGACCGACTACGACGACACCGACGACGACGACGACGACACCGACGACGTCTCGACGACTTCGACGACGACAACGACGCCGACGACGACGAAGACGACGACGACGACGCCAACGAAGGCGACGACGAGGGAGGAGGAAGGACGACGACGGCGACAACGACGACAACGACGACAACGACGACGGAGGAGGGAGGACGGCGACGACGCGAACGACGACGAAGGAGGAAGGACGGCGACGCCGACGACGACAACAACGAGGGAGGAGGGAAGACGACGACGACAACAACGACGACGACGACGGTGACGAAATAAAACCGACGACGAGACGCCGACGACGGACGACGACGACGACGTGGGAGGAGGAGGACGGACGACCACGGCGACAACGACGACGGAAACGACCACGACGCCAAAGAGGACGACGACGACGAACACGAGGAAAGACAGAGGACGACGTAGGCGACGACGACAACGACGCGGGAGGAGGGAGGACGGCGACGACGACGACGACGACGCAAGATCGCGCGCGCACGTTTTTGTTGAAAATCCGTGTTGCGAAACCTTGGGTTTTTGTAGGTTTTTTGGACGCGCGATTTCGAAACACTTCCGAAACCGATGGGTTTTGAAGGTTTTCGGCGTACGCCCGCGACGACGCGCGCGTCTGCACTTCGTCTTTTTTTGTTGCAGAGGATTCTCGCGACGGCACACGCGCAAGGGCGTTCGACAGATTTCGACATGCGCGCGCGAGAAGCCCGTTTGGTAGCACTTTGTGAAAATATTGATACACCTATGGTTTTCTTAAGATTTCGCAAGAGCTCGCGCGGAAGCTTTTTTAGCAAATCAGTGTTGCGAAACCCTGTGTTTTTCTATGTTGTTTTGGAAACTCGGTAGCGAAATCCTTCCGGCACGGAAGGTTTTTGAAGGACTTCGGCATGCGCGCGCGACGAAGCGCGCGTGCGCACTTCGTCCCATTTGATGCAAGGGGTTCGCGAAAAAGTGTTATGTTAGAACAAAAAAGTCACCGCATAGTGTTTTTAGCTTACAAAGGGAACCTCAGGGTGGGGGGAAACCGGTTCGACTGGGATGATATGGTTTCATGTTTAGGATGGACGAGTGGCCAGAATCATCTACGAGTTACATATCCGAAAGGGGAGCGGATAAGTCCGGGGGGGTAGAGTCTATTCTCCTTTCAGGAAGGAGAATCCACTCTGCTGAACTTGAAGTCGTCATCTCCACTGCTCGCGCAAACATCCCACCCACCCACCCGCAATTTGGTTTGCAAAACCTGTTCAGACCGACTACGACGACACCGACGACAACGACTAGGACGACACCGACGACGTCTCCGACGACTTCGACGACGACACCGACGCCGACGACGACGAAAACGAAGACGACGACGACGACGACGCCAACGAAGGCGACGACGAGGGAGGAGGAAGGACGACGACGGCGACAACGACGACAACGACGACAACGACGAGGGAGGAGGGAGGACGGCGACGACGCCAACGACGACGAAGGAGGAAGGACGGCGACGCCGACGACGACAACGACGAGGGAGGAGGGAAGACGACGACGACGACGACGACGGCGACGAAATAGGCTACGACGACTAGACGCCGACGACGGACGACGTCGACGACGTGGGAGGAGGAGGAAGGACGACCACGGCGACAACGACGACGGAAACGACCACGACGCCAAAGAGGACGACGACGACGAACACGAGAAAAGGCAGAGGACGACGTAGGCGACGACGACGACGACGACGCGGGAGGAGGGAGGACGGCGACGACGACGACGACGACGACGAAGAGCGCGCGCGCGCACGCTTTTGTTGAAAATCCGTGTTGCGAAACCTTGGGTTTTTGTAGGTTTTTTGGACGCGCGATTTCGAAATCCTTCCGAAACCGATGGGTTTTGAAGGTTTTCGGCATACGCCCGCGACGACGCGCGCGTCTGCACTTCGTCCCATTTTTGCAGAGGATTCTCGCGACGGCACACGCGCAAGGGCGTTCGACAGATTTCGACATGCGCTCGCGAAGCCCGTTTGGTAGCATTTTGTGAAAATATTGAAAAACTCATGGTTTTCTTAAGATTTCGCAAGAGCTCGCGCGGAAGCTTTTTTAGCAAATCAGTGTTGCGAAACCCTGTGTGTTTGTATGTTTTTTTGGAAACTCAATTGCGAAATCCTTCCGGCACGGAAGGTTTTTTTGAAGGATTTCGGCATGCGCGCGCGACGACGCGCGCGTGTGCATTTCGTTTCGTTTTGTTTGCAGGGGATTTGTGAACAAATGTTATGTTAGAGCAAACAATGTCACCGCATAGTGTTTTTTTTTTTTTTTTTTTTACAAGGGAGCCCCAAGGGGAAAACCGGTTTGGCTGGGATGATATGATTTCATTTTTAGGATGGACGAGTGTGC